AAAGCTGAGGCAGGAACCTGGAAGTAGGAACTGAAGCAGAAGCCATGAAAGAATGCTGCTCACTGCTTTGCTTGCTCCTGGCTTGCTCAGTTGGCTTCCTTGTACATTCAGGACCACCTGTTCAGGAATGGCACCACCCACAATGGGCTAGGACTTGTGTCAATCATTTATCAAGACAATACTCCATAGAGTTACCTCTAGGCCTGTCTTAGGAGGCATTCTCCCAAGGTTCCCTCTTTCAGGGGTTAGAGAGATGGCTCAGCAGTGAGGAGCACTGCTGTTCTTCCTAAGGACCCATAACCCCCCTTGTCAGGTGACTCACAACTGCCTCTAATTCCAGCTCCAGGGATTCACTGCAGGAACCTTCTCTGTGTGTGTGTGTGTGTGTGTCACAGAGAGAGAGAGAGAGAGAGAGAGAGAGAGAGAGAGAGAGAGAGAGAGAGAGAGAGAGAGAGAGTGTAAAATAAAGAAATTTTCTCTTCAGACATGTCTAGGTTTGTGTCAAGTTAGTAAAAACTAACCACACAATTGACCCTTGTCAGCTTGACACAACATATCACTTATTAAGCTGTAATCTTATCCTCAAGATCTCATATTAATATCAGTATCATAATATAAAACATATTCTTAACTTTAAAAGTCTCTGTCTTTAAAGTTCAGGTTCTCGCTCTTTTGTGAGACAGGTTTTCTTTAAATCAGCAGTTTTCAACCTTCCTTATGCTATGACTCTTTAATACAGTTCCTCTTGTTGTGGTGACTGCAACCATAAAGTTGTTTCCTTGCTACTTTGTAACTGTAGTCTTGCTACTGTTATGAATCTCAGTGTAAATATTTGTGTTTTCTGATGGTCTGAAATCACTCCTGTGAAAGGGTTGTTCCACCCATAAGGGTCACCCACAGGTTGAGAACTACTGCTCTAAATTGTCTTAGTTGTCTAGGAACTCATTTTGTAGGCTAGGATGGTTGCTGACTCACTAGATCTGTCTGCTGAGTATTGGAATTAAAGTCATGTACCACCATTTCTGGCCCAAGTTCAGACTCTTTAAAATGTCAAAGGTCTTCTTCGGAGTTCAACCCTTTCTAAAATATCCAAAGTCTCTTAATTGTGGACTCCTGTAAAATCAAACATAAGTTAAATACTTTCCCACTCCAGTAAGGAAAAACCAGGGCACAATTACATTCTAAACAAAGCAAAACCAAAAACATTAGTGTAAAAAGTTCAGTGCTTGGCATCTAGGACCCATTCACCATCCTTTTGGACTCTGAGGGGGCCTTAGCTGTGGTATTTCTCCAGCTCTGCCATCCACAGCACGTGAAACTGGCCTTCTAAGCTCAGGCAGGTTCTATTCCATAGCAGTTGCTGTTCTTAGTGGTCATCTCATGATATTGGCATCTCCAAAATACTGGGGTCTGAACTGCAACTAGGCTGTACAGCTACCGATAAGCTCTGGAGGGCTCTCTTTAGGTACTCTGACCCTGAAATGTGGGGCAAGCATTAACTTCTCTCCATGGTTCCTGGGGCTTCAACTTCAACTAAGCCTGGGAGACTTACATATCATCAAGTTTGGTTGCCAGCACGAGGTGCACAATCTTGGCCCCCTCTGGACCACAGCTTCGACCCTGAGGAAATACTTCTCAGAAGACTTCACCTCACTGATGCTGGTCTATTCAACAAAGCTGGTTTCTCAGCTCCAGCCAACCCCTGTAAATTGTCCCAGTATAGGGCTTACTTCAGTGGTGCTGGTGTCTTCCTAATCACAGCTGATTCTTAAACCTCAGCTGACTAGAGCCATATATTCTTAATTCAAAATATCACACAAGTAGCCCTCATATAATCTGTAAAGGACTCTCAAAACTTCTCTCTTTAGTTTCACAAGCTGGCCTCCACCACTTGCACACTCTCAACACTCTTACCTTCCAAGATCCCAGAGAACAACCTACTGAATGAACTCTGAGCACTCAACGGCGTTTACAGCCCAAGTGCTGTCTCCTTCTCCCAAATACATGAGGTCTAGCACAGCAACACCCCACTCTGGTACCAATTTCTGTCTCTGGGTTTCTGTTGCTGTGAAAAACACCATGACTAAAAGCAACTTGGGGAGGAAAAGGTTTATTTCAATACAGTTCTGTATCACAGTTGATCACTGAGGGACGTCAGGGCACAGGAACCTGGGAGAGGAGCTGATACAAGAGGCTGTGGAGAGGTACTGCTTACTAGCTTGCTCTTGGCTTGTGAGTTTGTTTTCATACACACCCAGGACCACCTGCCTAAGGTGGCACCACCCATAAAGGACTGGGCCCTGTCACATTAACGACTAATCAAGAAGACTTGCCCACAGTCTAGACTTGTGTGGGCATCTTTTAGATTGAGGTTCCCTCTTCCCAAATGACTCTTGCTTGGGTCAAGTTGACATAAAGCTAACCTAGACAAAGAGGTTTTAAGTTAGTGTAGCAAGTGGGAGTGAGATGTGAGAGTCTCTTGGAAGACTGGTGGGTGGAGATGAAGGTTTTAGCACATGTCCTGCAAAAGGAGGGCTTGGAGCTGGGAGATTAGTCTGAAGGAATTTTGAGGTATATCCTGGTATGAGGAACATTGTAACAAGAACACCTGGGGGTTTAGAAGGTTGAGCCAGTACAGCTTTGGTTACATTACAAGAACTCATCTCAAAACAGAAACTGGATTTCTGTTAAGTTGCCATTTCAAACAAAACAAAAATGAATTTCAGTTAAGTTGCATCTAGGCAATTTTTTAAAGGTTTTATTTTATTTTGAGACAAAGTCTCGATATGTAGTTTTGTCTGGCCTGGAATTCAGAGAGATCTGCCTGATACTACCTCCTAAGTGCTGAAACTAAAGATGTGTACCACCATGCTGGACCTTACCCTTGCATTCTTAAATTTCCCAACTCCCTTGGTATAGCAAATGAAGCTGTAGACCTGGAAGAGACTTAGCAAGTGCTAGGTGAGTCTTTTTTTTTTTTTTTTTTTTTTTTTGGTTTTTTGAAACAGGGTTTCTCTGTGTAGCTTTCTAGACCAGGGTGGTCTTGAACTCACAAGAGATCCACCTGCCTCTGCCTTCCCAGTGATGGGACTAAAGGCATTCGCCACCACCGCCTGGCTTTTACTGCAATTTTTAAACTTTATTTTTCTTTAGAGCTGAGTAGTATTCTGTGTGCGTGCGTGCGTGCGTGCGTGCGTGCGTGCGTGCGTGCGTGCGTGCGTGCGTGCGTGCGTGCGTGCGTGTGTGTGTGTGTGTGTGTGTATTTGCACACGCACATCAGATTTTTGTTATCCATTCATCTGTTGGACAACTAGATTGATTTCAATTCTTTCTTAGGCAAGTCTTTAAAAATAAATAGGTGGCAGGCAGAGGCAGAAACTGGCAGATCTCTGTGAGTTTGAAGTCAGCCTGGTCTACATAAGGAGTTCCAAGACAGTAAGGATTACATAGAAAGATAATTTTAAAAAAACAAAAAAGATATAGGGACTGGAGAGATGGCTAAGTGGTTATGAGCACTAGCTGCTTTTGCAGAGGACCTGGGTTCTATTCCCAGCACCCATGTCATAGCTTATAACTATCTGTAACTCCAGTTCCCGAGTATTGAACACCTTCTTCTGGCCTCCACAGTCACTGTACCAGCATAATTTGTAGACGAAACACTCATACACATAAAATAGAATTAAAGTGGGTTTTGTTTGTTTGTTTGTTTTGTTTTTTGTTTTTTCCAAGACAGTTTGTCTGAGTAGCTTTGGAGCCTGTACTAGAACTAGCTCTTGTAGAGTTCGCCACCACCGCCTAAAACTAGCTCTTGGTCTCGAACTCACAGAGATCCACCTGCCTCTGCCTCCCTAGTGCTGAGATTAAAGGTGTGAACCACCACCGCCTGGCTTAGAATTAAAGTTTTTAAAGTGAAAAAGTAAAAATAATAATCTCATGAAGTTTCTGTTAAAAATGTACTCTTGTGAGCTACAAACTATAAAATATTTGTAATAGTGACTAAGTGGAGATTTTAAATTTCATGCTAGGCCAGGGTTCACACTCTGAGATTCTGTTTTTAGAGTTTATCAAGGTAATGACCATTGAGGAACTTACTTTTTCACTGATAATAGTCCTTTTTTTTTTTTCAAATTTTTAATCAAATTGATTGGAAATTTTATGTCTCTGACTTTTCATGATAGAAGCCCATTATTTTCTCACATTCTTCCTGTCTGTTTTTTCTCTTGATGTTTGTTGTCTGTCTCAGGTCATTGATTATAGGAAGGTAGTTCACAGTTTTGCTGTACCAACTCATCACCTTTTAGAAGTATCACTTAGCAATTACATTTATAAAATCCAACAGAGTGTCTGTTTTATTATTAATTCCCACTAAGTTTTCTGTGTTCAGGGATTTCTTAAAACGTGGTAAGAAGTCACTTCAGTATTAGCATAACACATTACATGATTTACTTGGTGGTTTCTTTATTTACAATGTACAGAAGTTAAAATAGTAATTGGGTATTTGGAATCGGAACATTTTGAGTGTATTTTGGTGGTGCTGTTATTTAGATTTGGAGGCACAGGATGGGAGCCACCTGTTCAGGGGGTAACTAAAATCTGCTTCTTACGTTTTTAGAGGCTTCGTGACGGAGTGATCAGAGACATTGAGAGGCAGAATCAGAAAAAAGAAAACATTCGTCTTTTGGGAGAACAGATTATTTTGACTAAGCAACTTGAAGCAGAAAGAGAGAAGATGTTGGAAAGAGGATCTCAAAACACTTGACTGTGAAAATTGATGGGGCAGTGCTGGGTGTATGTGTGTGTGTGTATGTGGGTGTGTGTTGATAGAGAATAGCTAGTGAAAGCCGTCCCCTCCCCCATCACTGTCCATTTAAACTTTATTAAATAAAGGACAGTGGATCCTGTCTTCTAAATAATTCTTTTAAGAGTCTGTTCTGTCTGGATAAAGTACTCGTGGGCAGATGCTCTTCTGAAGTTGTCTGGGGGATTCTGCAGCAGTCCCTGTCAGCTTAGGTGTGCTTGTGAGCAGGGAATGATGGAGAGTAACATCCACCTGAGTGGTCTGCTCAGTCGGCATGATGATGAAGCCACAAGAACATCCACCTCAGAAGGGCTGGAGGAAGGTGAGGTGGAGGGAGAAACTCTCCTAATTGTTGAATCAGAGGATCAGGCGTCAGTGGACTTATCTCACGACCAGAGTGGGGACTCGCTTAACAGCGATGAAGGAGATGTATCATGGATGGAGGAGCAGCTGTCTTACTTCTGTGACAAGTGCCAGAAGTGGATCCCAGCCAGTAAGGAGCTTCTCAATTCCTTTGATCGGTCGATCCCTGTGTGATGGTTTGTTTTCCAGTCTGTGAAAAACACTAATAAAATAGACTTGAAAAAAAGATAATTATATTTATTATTACTAGTGTAGTTTACCAAATGTAAATTTGTATCAAACCACATTATTTTGTTTTTAGTTTTTTAAAGACTCATTTGTTTTATATGTATGTGTATGTGCCTGAGTGTATGAGCACCATGTTCCTGCAGTGCTTGCAGAGGTCAGAGGAGAGGAGCTGTAATTACACATGGTTGTAAGCCACTGTGTGGGTGCAAGGAACTGAACACACATCCTCTGCAAGGGTAGTAAGTGCTCTTAACTGCCAAGCCAGCTCTCCGGCCTCACAAAACCATATTTGTATTAATTAAAATTGTCAACCACTATCCCATTGTTAAATTAACATTCAGGGTGGTAGCCCAAGAAAAACTAGGAATCCTATGTCACTTAAGGAATTGGCCATATTTTTCTAAGATTATGCTGTGGGTTGAGGGACACATTCTGTTGTTGCCAGTATAGAATTAAAGGTTCAAGTTCACATAACTTACCGTGTTAATTTGACATTTGTGGAAACTGCTGTTCTCTTCTGATGGGAGGTAAGAATTGGCAGTGCAAAGGTGTTTGCTTCCTGCCTTTGGTCCAGGTTTATTTTCTACTGTGGGCCTTTTATCTGCTGGAAGGAGTCACAATGCACAGATCTTGAGGTTTCTGGCTGCCTGTTTCATAGCATGCTTTGTCAGCCATCATGATTCTTACCTACACAGCATTTTCCATTAGGCAAGAGACAGAAGGCATGTGCACTGGAGGAACACTTTGTGTAAGGGTTCATAGTTGGTGAAATGGAGGTATTAATTCACTTAGCAAAGTTGGTTATTTTCTGGTATGTAGAAGCTTTTGTTAAAAATGGATCCAATTGTTCAAATTAATAGCTACTATAAATAGGTTAATAGTAACAGTTCATAGAAAACAAACCTAGAATTGACTACCGTTTTTGATTCTCAGCTATCTAGTAAAGCTGGGTTCCACTCCAAATTTCTGGCTTTCCTGTTGTCCTCCCAGGGTAAATTTTAAGGTGACTTTCATGATTGGTCTCTGCTAACTTTTTCAGGGAGGTAGGTGAACATTTCATTCTTTCTAAATAACGCTTGGTTCCTAGGACTTTGTACCTTTTTGTTTTCTCTGGAATACTCACCTGGACTGCTTCCCTGCACTCCTGATCCACATGCAACCTTCCCTTGGGCCCAGGAGACCCCTCTTCCCTCCCTAGTGGGGTTGGACATCTCTTTTTCTTCCTATGCCTTACACTGCCCAGTGATGTATATTATAGTCTACTCTGGAAGTTTTCATGGTACACAAAGCATCAGCATCACCTAGGAGCTTTAATGTAGAGCCCAGACCCAGGCTCAGAGGCAAGCATTTCATCTGGGGCAGACAAGGCCATAGCAGGGATATTAAGCCCAGCCACCTGGTGATTCTGATGCTCCACGAGAATCCAGAATCAGTGCAGTTGTGCATACCTGTGTTCTCTGCTGCCTCCAGATTTATGAGTCCATGAGAACAGGCGCTGGTCATGTCTGCCTTAGACATTGCATATCCAGCTCCTAGCCTGGTGCCTGGCTGGTAGTACAAGCTCAGGTATTCCCGGAAAGAATGTTTGAAGAGACCTGCCTAGAGGAGTCAGGAATGTGGCTACTGGGAAATCCAGTTAGAGCAATCTTACCTGCTTTTCCAGGACCTTTCTCCTGAAAAGCTAAGGAGCCACGGGTTCTAGGAGGGGCATGTGCCTGACTTTAGAAGGAGAAACACCTTTTTTCCTCTCCTCTGCTACTGTCCTGGGTTGGCTGCAGAAAACAAAAAAGCCTTCCATGGGAAACTTGGAAATCTGGTCAATTAACTGAGCCTTTGGGTTGCCACTGCATGAGATAAACCCATGATGTGACTTTTGTTTTTGTATTTGTTGTTGTTTTTTTTTTTCCCCATAGGTCAGCTGAGGGAACAGCTCAGTTACCTTAAGGGCGATAACTTTTTCAGGTTTACTTGTTCCGATTGCTCAGCAGATGGCAAGGAGCAGTACGAGCGGCTGAAGCTGACGTGGCAGCAAGTGAGTACCAAGCGCTTCTCTTAGATGCAGCAGGTTGGATGCCCAAGAAATTGGAATGATTATCTGGAGTGGTTTGGGGGTGGGGTGCTTCACACTTCACAATGAAAAGGGGTACATTGTGTGGAAAGAACACTTCGTGGCTTAAAAAAAAAAAAAAAATCCTCACTCCTGATTTATTGAATTCTTGAGAATCTGAATCAGTTTCGTTTGTGTCATACCAAGCTTAGATTCAACTGAAAACCAGGCCCACATTTTCTGGCAGTCATTTCTGGCATAATAAAACCAGAGGTGGCTACACTGGAAATAGATTTGGCAGAAACAGTTTGACTTGATAACAAAGACAAAGTAACAACTGGTTTAGCCTTCCTGCATTTGCACTTGGAAGCAAGTCTTTATTGGTGGATACTTTTAGCTGCAAGTACCAGCACTCTAGATAGTAACTTTTTACTGATCTTAAGACTTTATTAAATTGTTTGGTTTTATTTTAATATACATACACATATATATAGTAAGGTAACAAGGTATAGCCAATCCTTAAGTTAAAAATAAAGAACTTTACAGTAATCTCTGGTTTTGTTGATGTTTGTGATGCTGGGATCAAAGTCATTGCCTTGTTTACATTAAGTGCTATACCTTCTAACTGTGCTCCAGACCCCCTGGGTGTCTTGCTTTTTAGTTTATTATTATTTTTCTTGTTTTTGTTTTTCGAGACAGTTTCTCTGTATTTCTTTGGATCCTGTCCTGGCACTCACTCTGTAGACCAGGCTGGCCTCGAACTCACAGAGATCCACCTGCCTCTGCCTCCCATGTTCTAGGACTAAAGGCATGCGCCACCAACGCTTGGTGCTTTTTAGTTTATTTTTATTTATTTGACATATACTGAGTGCCTACAATGAACCCAGGTACTATTTGAGGTCTGGAGAGTACTGTGGTGGGTGAGCCAACTGAAGCCTCCACTCCTAGGCCTTAGGGGCCACTGGCATTCCACAAGCAGATAAATGTGATAATTGCCCTAGCACTCTTTGCCTTGAAGAAAACAAACAGTTAGGGGGAAGATTTTAGATGTGCTGTGTTGGCCACTTGGGGTGTTTCTTGTAGACTGTAGTTGCCATAACAATCTGAACAGTTGTCCTCATCACCAGTGTTTTATTTTTTCACCCCAGGAAACTGTCCCTTAACTTGGGAGGCTGCTTTGACTTGCCAAAAATACATAGGTAGAAAATAAAGGAAGTTTGAAATGAGTGTATAGTTTCATGGGGATCACAATTGCATTTCCCACCCCCCTGTAGATGGCATGTTATATGTAGGGAAGGTGTGTTACTACAAAGAGAAATGCAAATACATAGGTGGACTTGTATGTAGCCTGCAAGTAGCATCTCATAAAAGCTGTAAAATGGAGGAAAGCAAATATAAGGGGTCGTTTTCAAGAATGTTAGTTTTCTAACTAACATGTTAGAAATGTAGTATTTTTAAAAGAAAACTTAGTTCATATAGTCCTCAGAATATGGACTGTTGGCCCCGTTTATGTACTTAATCAGGTTAGCACTGATTGAGAAGACTTTTTCACTTCTGGAATATACATTGGTTAGATAATACCCTGGAAGGAAGAAGTGATAAATTATGTATCTTGGATATGCATATGACTTAGGCATGCGTTCTTATAAACTACCAACCAGTGTTGCTGGCAACTGGAAAAGCCTGTCTTACCAGAAACCTGAAAGAGAACCAGCTAGTCCTCAGTGATTTCAATAGGGGTCCAGATACTTAGAGCATTATAGTTTGTGTTTTCAGCTTTTTAAATCTCAATCTTTGATTTACTGCAGAACTAAGGAAGATGCTTGGAACACAGCATTTTCTTTGCATTACGAAATCCCACCAGTGAAGGTCGCCCTCTGGATTGAAGACCCCTTTCTTCCCTTCATGTCCCTCTGTGTGTGTCTTCTCTTCTTCTCCATGACGCTTGACTTGCATGCAGCAAGAGGAGAAACTTCGAAACACCTGAGGGCCAGAGACATTTGCACATTCTTGTCTGGGGCCTCCTTCTGTCGCAAACATTCCTTGTCTGTGCTCCTCTTTCTGGGTCCTTCAGCAGGCAACTCCCAGTGTCCGCTGTGTCACCAGTTCAGACAGCCCTGATGGGCCCCGGAGATACTTTGTCCAGAAGACCAGCTTCCTTACAGCGAGCTTGGTCTGGTGTTGTGAAAACTGATCTGGCATTTAAGTCTATAGATCACGTTCTGGAAGAGGAGAAACAATGGATCCTTTCAGATTAGGATTTAGGGTGGCCAACGAATACTGGTAACAGAAAAGCCATTTTCAAGTAAACCTTGTAATTCATGAAATATGTTAAACTTAGTAGAAATAATAACAGGAAGGCATCTGTGTGTGAGATTGGCAGTGAATACATTTTCTGAGTAGGAGTCTGAGAATGGTAAACCTATTCCATAACTAAGGTGTCTGTTGAATGATAGTTTTCTCTTTCTGTGTGTAAGATATATAGAATGTAAGATGTACTGTTTTTCATTGTTTACGTATAATCATCTCCAAAACTTTATCTCCCCAGACGAAACTTCATGTCCATTATGTGACTCTCCATGAGTTTTAACTGTTGGCTAATGTTGACCTAATGTAAAAAGAAGTAGAAGACACCTGAACAGTCTGTTTGGGGGCTCAGTGTACAGTATGTTATCACATGATAACGTACGAAGTTGAAACTTGGTGGCATAATGCCAGGGCCCTTTGCATGGTATAGATGTGGACATAGCTCTTCTCTTAGAATCCCTGGGGGGTTAATGTGTTGAACACACCTGGTGGTGGCTTTAACTGCAGTTTATCAGACCCCTTTGTAGAAAGAAGGGATATTTAAGAATTCTTTTCCAGACTCTCTATTCTCTACTTAATTTCTTAGACTCAGTATAATTTTGCATGTTTTAGAAGATTTATTTGGTTTTAGGTGTATATGTATGTGTCTGTGCACATGTATTTGAGTGCCTGCAGAGGCCAGAAAAGGGTATTGGGTCCCCTGAACCTGGAGTTACAGGCAATTGGGGTTTTTTGTTTGTTTGTTTTGTTTGTTTGTTTTTGGTTTTCGAGACAAGGTTTCTCTGTGTAGCTTTGGAGCCTATCCTGGCACTCCCTCTGGAGACCAGGTTGGTCTCGAACTCACAGAGATCCGCCTGCCTCTGCCTCTCGAGTGCTGGGATTAAAGGCATGCGCCACCAACACTGGGAGAGTTCCACCAATTGTGAGCCACCTGACATGGGTTCTGGGAAGTGAATTTGGGTCTTCTGGAAAATCTTAGTACCTCCTATGATTTTCAGTTGCCTTTACAGTTTTGTCCATCTCTATAAAATTGCATATATAAAACATGCATTAATATAGATGCCAGCAATTGACTGAAAGCATAGCCACTGAAGGATCTTCCTATGTATCTAGGCTGTCCTTAAGTTCACGACCCTGAGTACTACAGTAATAGGTACCTAACTGCTCATAGCAAAGTGCATATTTCTTTTTTATATAGTAACTTTAAAAGAATTAAGATTTTAGTTTATGTGTATTTGTGCACATATGTGGAGGTGTTCATGGAAGTCAGAGGGCTATTAGATCCCCTGGAGCTGGAGTTAAAGGCAGTTGTAAGCTGTTGGTATGGGTGCTGAGAACTGAGCTCTGGAAGAGCAGCAGCAGGGGCTCTTGACTGCTGAGCCAGCCCTGCAGCCCCCAGTGTTTACTTCCTGATGGTAGATTTCAGATGCTTTTTATTTTCCTTTCTTCTGTGCTACTGAAGTCTTCTATAATGGCATGTGTTTTTGTATTTCTGGATCTTACTTTTCATAGTAGGCCAGGAATCACTGTCTATAAAAGATAACAGGATTGGACTAGATAGCAGTTGGTACACTGAGCTTCAGGGTTCTTGGAGCCCTCTATGAATGGGATAGGCAGCCAAGGCTTTTTGTTCTCGCCCCTTGTTTAGTATGTACTCCATTTGAAGAAAGGTATGGACTGGGCGTTGTTGGTGTACTCCTTTAATCCCAGCACTCGGAGGCAGAGGCAGGTGGATCTCTGTGAGTTTGAGGCCAGCCTTGTCTCCAGAGCATGTGCCAGGATAGGCTCCAAAGCTACACAGAGAAGCCTTGTCTTGAAAAAAAAAAAAGGTATCTTCAGCTCCAAATTGCTGTGACACTGAGTGGATGCCTGCAATATTGCCCAGATCTGTATTTTATTTATTTATTTTGGTTTTTCGAGACAGGGTTTCTCTGTGTAGCTTTTGGAGCCTATCCTGGCACTCGCTCTGGTGACCAGGCTGGCCTTGAACTCACAGAAATCTGCCTGCCTCTGCCTCCCGAGTGCTGGGATTAAAGGCATGCATCACCAACGCCCGGCTAGATCTGGATTTTTAATCTTGTCTTTGCTCTGTAAAACGCTTAGAAAACTATGCATTCAGAAGTGAGTTTTTAAACATTGAATAAAAGCTAGCGCCATCAGTCAGGACATGGTGTATGGAGTCAGCTCCTGGAGGTCTGATGTTGAGAGCTGCTGTGAATAGCAAGGAGCTTGTGACAGTGCCTCCTGGTCAGTCCATCCACTCATCAGCCCTTTGTGTGTTGCACCTAATAACCGAACTAGTGATCCCTTACAAAAGAAAAAAAAAAAAAAAAAAAAAAAGGAAGGAAGTAAGAGTCTGCCTGGATTATTGCAGGAGTTCATCCTGTTTCCTCCATTCCCTCATTCTTACTTGGAATCTAAAACAGAACAGCTTTCCCCCATGGATCCCTCCTCAGGCTAACCTACCTGCCGGTCTTCCATTTGTGTTTCAGGTGGTCATGTTGGCAATGTACAACTTGTCTCTGGAAGGAAGTGGACGTCAAGGTTATTTCCGGTGGAAAGAAGATATCTGTGCTTTTATCGAGAAACATTGGACTTTTTTATTAGGAAACAGGTAACATGATTTTAAAATATACTAGAAGAAAGTTGTAAGCAAGGTATATACAAACTGACACCCTAATGTAACCCTGTTAGGTTTTAACAGTGTAGCTCAAAGGGGAAATGTGGGCTTACATTGTTTTCTTATTCTGCTCCAGAGGAGAGGGTAGGTTTACTGAACATGTTGCTTTAGCAGAGATTCTTAGTGTTTTGTTTTGGTTTTGGTTTTTTGAGACAGGGTTTCTCTGTGTAGCCCTGGCTGTCCTGCAACTGGCTCTGTAGACCAGGCTTGAACTCAGAGATTCACCTGCCTGTGTCTCTGCCTCCAAAGTGCTGGTATTAAAGGCATATGACACTACTGCCTGTGTCTTCTTAGGTTTTTTAAAATGAGTTTGAATAGCTAACTTGAGGAAACAGTACTGTGATGTCCTTTTAAAATGGGGGACATAAAGATCAGAAGAGAAACAGAAAAGCCAATTCATACTTGCACCCGTTTAGGTTACTCTAAATTAATCAAGTCTTACAGTTTTTTCTCTTATTTATTAATCTAGAGGTGCGCCCATACTTATTGCCCACAGTGCTAAGCTAAGTTTGCCACATTAATACACACACGGCTCATTCATTAAGTGCTCTTGCTGTAATTGTGGTTTAAGTTTTGCTTCTAAGCCTTCTTGCTGGCTGCATTGCTTCACTGGGGTTCGGGATGAACATTAGACTTGGACCTGCCCCACTGAGACCACATGCTAACGGCCATGTCGACTTAAAGAGCTCTGAGTGTTAGGGATGAGTGTTGCTGCACAGGTGACTTTGGAACCCTGGTTTCTGGTTGTTCTCTGAGGTCCTAGTTAAGATGCATAAACGCTGCAAATTAGGTCATCATAGAGATGATACTGGCTCTTGATCACTGCAGCAGAGCAAAGTTGGACTGCATTCTGAGCTCTGGCAGCCTTTTCCCTGTGGTACTGAGAAGTTAGCTTTGCTCTGGTTTTCCTATAGGCCTGAAAGCTGCTGTGAGAGTAGAATAGACCAGACATTTACAAAAGGGGCTATTTCAGTTCTTGAATTCTTTAGTGCTCCTGAGAAAAGAATTGACACTATGACTAGTGCCTTCTCTTAACAAAAGGAAATCTGTTGTTTTAATTTAATTTAACGCACTATTTATGGAATTTAATATGCCCTGTTTTTATTTATATGGGATAAGAATTGGAGAAAATGGTAAAATTAGATCTTGGAATGTTTTCATGATTTCCAAGTGCTTTCTGCTTAGTGAGTTATCTTCTGGAAGACAGTGAATGTAAATTACCTGTTTTTAAGATTATTACTTATTTGAATAGGAGTTGTTCACCATGTTCCAGAACATGTTCTGAGAGGAACTGGCCAAGGCTTTTTTGTTTCTGACACACCAGTGAGAAGCTCTCACTACCCTGCAGTTTCTGTGTAGTTAACCATTAGACCAATAGTTTGGGGTTATAATGTTGGTGTCACCTGAATTATATACTTAACCTACCTACTTAAATAAAGTTATTTGCAAAAACATACTTATTGCTGGGTTGTGATGGTGTACGCCTTTAATCCCAGCACTTGGTAGGCAGAAACAGGAGGATCTCAGTGAGTTCAAGGACATACTCCAAAGCTACAGAGAAACCCTGGCTTGAAAAAACAAAAGCAAACAAACAAAAACATACCTATTTAAAAGAACATCACACTGTAAGTGGAACACATGTATGATTTGCCATAAATAGAATATAACTCTGAACATCAGTCCACTGGTGATAACCCAACAGTATGACATTGTATCTGGATCCCATGCTGTAAGGACAAGCCTGGCATTCTGTTTTTGGTCAGAAAGGCCACAGTATAGTGACAGTGTACAGCAGTAAGCTTTCTGTAGTCTACCCAGAGGGTAGGAATAGAATTAAAAGTCATTGTGACTCTATTTCCTGAGTGTCCAGCAACAGTGCTGTCACTCACCTGGGACCTGCTTTAAACATCAGTGATTGTAAAGGTCCCCAGGTAGTACCAAGTGCCCGTTATCTCTCTGAGCAGCGTCACTGTCCACAACATAAGCTACCTATAAGCACCTTTAAACTTTTTTGAGTTATTTTAATTCTGTTCTCTCCAGGACAGCCCCTTTTTTATTTTATTTTTTAATGATTTATTTATTTTTATTTTATGTGCATTGGTGTTTTGCCTACATGCATGTCTGTTTTAGGGTGTCAGATTCCCTGAAACTGGAGTTACAGATATCTGTGAGCTGCATGTGGGTACTGGGAATTGAACCTGGGGCCTCTGGAAAAGCAGCCAGTGCTCTTACTCGCTGAGCCATCTCTCCAGCCCCCCTTTTTAAATATTTGAGATAAGGTTCCATGTAGCCCAGGCTGGCCTTAAACTCACTATGTCGCTGAAGATTTCTGATCCTCTTGCCTCTTCTGGAGTGTTTAGAGTACAGGCTTACACTGCTATGCAGGGATTGTTGTACAACTTAGATCCTCTTGCATGCTAAGTAAGTACTCTACCTGATGAGCTATATCCCAGACCTAGTCCTTAAACATTTAAATATGGTATTTCCTCATTTGTCACAGAAGCTAAGGGTATAGTACTCTATGTAATGAACTTTTAAATTTGGCTAGACTCCTCACTAATGTTTTTATTTCATGCCTTTAGTGTCTTAGTAGTTTAAATATATGAATGTTTATTTAAGAATAACCTAAATTTTTTTATGTACATGTGAGAATTTAATTCCTACAGATTAAGGTTGTTTTTTTTGTTTGTTTGTTTGTTTATCGAGACAGGGTTTCTCTGTGGCTTTGGAGGCTGTCCTAGACCAGGCTGGTCTTGAACTCACAGAGATCAGTCTGCCTCTGCCTCCCAAGTGCTGGGATTAAAGTTGTGAGCCACCACTGCCCAGCAATTAATTGGGGTTTTGGTTTTTGTCTGCTTTTTGTTCTCTGTTTTTGAAATAGGGTCTCACTATGTAGTCCTGGCTGTCTTAGAACTCACTATATAGAGCAGACTGACCTCGAACTCATAGAGATGTGCCTGCTTCTGCCTCCTGATTAAAAGTGTACTCCTCCACATCAGGCAGTGTTTTGTCTGTTTTTTTGAGGCTGTATTTTACTGTGTACCTCTGGCCCACCAGATTGTCCCTGTGTAGCCCAGGTGTCATTCAACTAGGAAATATTCTTACCTCAGCCTTTCAAGTGCTAGAATTATAGATATGTACCACCATGTCTGGCTCTTGTAGATTAGTTGCCATTGTGTATAATTTTGTTTAATCTGCTTTTACAGTTCTAGCCTTGAATGCTTGTAGAGGATACTCTGTGTGTATGTGTGTGTGTGTGTGTTGAGAGAGAGAGAGAGAGAGAGAGAGAGAGAGAGAGAGAGAGAGAATGAATTTAGCTATAATACATGCCTGCAGGTACCCACAGAGACTGGAGGGTGTTGGATCCTCTGGAACTGGAGTTGCAGATAGTTGTGAGTCACCTGATATGGGTGTTAGAAATTGAACCTCTGCAAGAACAGTAAGTGCTCTTAACTACTGATCCATTTCTGTAGCCCCAATAAAATAATATCTTATTTTGTTTGATAGTTTTGTTATGTTGTAGTTTAATAGGTAACTAGCATCTTATTTTCCTTAGTTGCACATAAATGGTTTATCTTAGTCAATGGGTTTTAGAGTTGATACAATATGAAAGAAACAAGTCATAACAGTTACATTTTTTAAAACTATCTGAAAACAGAGTATGTTGACATGACACTTTAATCCCAACACTCTAGAGGCAGAGTTAGGAAGATACCTGAAAGTTCAAGGCTAACCTGATCTACAAGTTCCAGATCAACCAAGGCCACATAGAGAGACCCTCTCTTAAAAAGAAAACCAAAACAAACAGCATCGTCTGGAGAGTTGGCTCAAATGGTTAAGAACACTTGTTGCTCTTGCAAGATACACAGATTGATTCCCTGTACCCACATGGCAGCTCCCACTCATCTGTAACTCCAGTCCCAGGGACTCTGAAGAGCTCATCTGAATGTCACAAGCACCTGGCACACATTGTACTAACACACTTGGAGGTAAACACTCATACCCATAAAAAAAAAACAAATTTAATAAACAAAACCTCGACTACCTGAAGATGATCCTGGGCCAATACTGTCCCCATCTATTATAATCTTACTTGTAGAACTAGTTTAAGGAAACTATGTTTGAGCTCCGGGCTTTAATAAAGGCTTGTATCTTCTAGGGAATTCAGTGGTCAGTTTCAGTTCTTAGCACCACAGAGGGTAACTGGTTACATGTCACCTACCTCCAGCCTGAGGCAGGGAGCTGTATACACCTGATTTGGTAGCTGTTTGCAAATAGACTATAAGACCCAGGGTAGCCAGAAAGAACCTTTTGTAAATACTGTGTGTTTGTGTTCTGGTCACTGGATGCTGCTTCTCAATACAGCAGTGGACAGCAACCAGTGTCACTGCATTTACCCTCACTGCAAATGTGGGTAACAAAAGTTACAAAAATGGTGAATAAGCACATAAAAAGATGCTCAAAGTCACTAATCACTAGGAAGATGCAAATAAAATTGCTATGAGGTACCACCTTACCCTACATGGCAGCCATGTCAATGGGCATGGTGGCACGTACCTGTAATCCCCATTTAGGAGCATGAAGCAGGAGGATCATGAGTTTGAAACTAAGTAGGATTATCATATCTAGAGCTCCTTACAATAACTAAAATGAGGAAGCAATACCAGTCTATCCACACATGAATTTATGAGCATAGTATGTACATATAATATAATACATATTTAGTTTTAGGAAGAAGTATGTACATATAATAGAATACATATTTAGTTTTAGGAAGAAGTTTCTGCCATGTGTTACAACATGCACAAATCTTGAGAACACTAAGATAAATGAACTCAATCATAAGTATGCTGTATGATTCCACTTACACTAGTAATATACATAGATCCAGGAAGTAGAATGTTTGTTGTCAGTCCGGGAGCAGGGCAGGCTTTGAGAGTTATTTGTTTAATGAGTATAGAATTTTGTTTTGTACAATAAAATGAAGGTGGGTGATGGTAATGGTTGTAGAATATGAATGTACTTAATGGCCACTGAGCTGTGCACGTAAAAATGGTTAAGATGAACATAGTTTGCCTATTTTACCACAATAAAAATTTGGTTTAGAGAGGAGTAGATAGGTGAAACACCGGGGTAACTAAGAAAAGATGGAAGCATCGATATTTTTCAGCTTCTTAAAAAGACTGACAAGCCAAATGTCCAATTCAAGAGGAGTGGGTGAGCTACCTGTAGTATATATGCAATGTAATACTTTAGTACTAAGAAGGAAATCCTAACAGGTGGTGGTGGAACATGCCTTTTATCCCAGCACTCAGGAGGCAGATGCAGGCGGATCTCTGTGAGTTCGAGGCCAGCCTGGTCTACAAAGAGAGTTCCAGGACAGCCAGAGCTGTTACACTGAGAAACCCTGTCTCAAAAAAAACAAAACAAAACAAAAGAACAAACAACCAACCCAAAAAACCACCAACAATAAAACCCTTAAAAGAATTGCTGGTTTGGTTGAACTCTGAGGAATGTTAGCTTTTTGGGAGGCATGATACTGTACTTTTTCTTGTTATTTTTGGATCTCAATAGCTACATTAAAAAACCTTGATAGGGATTGGGGGGGGGGCATGAGAAAGCAGGAGAGACAGTTTCTCCCATGGTCTTAGCTCTTGGGTGTGGTGGCATGGGCTGGAAAGGTTAAAGTGAGGATGTAGGAGAGATCCATGGAGCTCAAAGAAGCCTTTGCCCATGGACTGGGGGACTCACCTCAGTGAAGTGTTGAAGGTTTTTCCCTCATTTTCTAGTATATGTTTGTTCCTCTTGTTTTCTGGCTATTAGATTGTTCCTTTAGTGAAAGAGTTTTTGCGTAATTGATTTATGTTGCAAAGTGGAAATAGTGGCCATTAAAGTAATTTTCAGTGGATGAGTAGTTGGCCTTCAGCATGTTTCTTGACTTTGTTATATTTGCTGTCTGTGAAGCATTCCTTGGAACCACTCTAGTACGTCAGGGCACTCTGAATCAGACAGATATATTCTCCGGGTGAAGCAGCTATTCACTAGCAGATTAAATGTGTTACCTGTGCCCAGACTCATAGTCAAGAAAGCTGGCTTGCTTTCTTAATTCCCCACTGCCCCCATGATTATTAAGTGGTTGTGTTTTTGAAACAGGGTTTCTCTATATAGCCTTGCTGTCCTGGAACTTGTAAACCAGACTGGCTTTGAACTCAGAGATCTCCTGCCTCAGCCTCCTGAGTGCTGAGGTTAAAGGCCTGTGCCTTCTCGTCTGACTGGGATAAGAGTTTTTATGTTTGAATTACTTTATTTGATCCTCTTAGTCACCCTATAAGGTAATTCTGTTATCCTGGTTTCACAGATGAGGAAACTAAGGCAGCTGGAAGGTGACAGCAAGGACTTGACATCAGGCAGACCCCAGACCCTTCTCTGGGCTGCATTGCTCTCTCCACTTGACAGCCAAGCATCAGTGAGAGTTTAATTAGGAATGTATTTGCTGTGCTATGATCAAATTGAAGTGTCAGTAGCTTTTAAATTATCTGTGTTTTAGGAAGAAGACTTCAACCTGGTGGAGCACGGTAGCAGGTTGCCTCAGTGTGGGAAGTCCTGTGTACTTCCGTTCAGGCGCTCAGGAATTTGGAGAGCCTGGATGGTGGAAACTTGTTCATAACAGGCCCCCAACAATGAGACCGGAGGGAGAGAAGCTGTCTGCCTCCACTTTGAAAGTGAAAGGTAAAGTGTGAGAACTGCCCAGCACCCAGGCTGGAGACTTACCAGCCTTCCAGCTGCATTTGGAGCTGTGAGGCTGGACAGTTTCAATCAATGGGGTTGTAATTTATAAAAAAGCTGTGCTCAAGAAAAAGACACAAAGTTACAGACCTCTTGTGGAGGGCTTTTTAATTAGGGGGAAGGGAATGGGAAAAGGAGGAAGGGCAGGAGGAGACCAGCCTCTGAAGACAAGAGCAGCAGAGGGGGAGTTGCGGGGAGACAGGCAGAGAAGCAGAGAGAGAGAGAGAGAGAAAGAAGGGAGGTGGGACAGGCAGAGAAGCAGAGAGAGAGAGAAAGAAGGGAGGTGGGCAGGGCCCTTTTAAAAGGGAACTTAGTGAATGTGCACGGGTGGTGCTCTTAGTGGTTGCAGCTGAGGACTATCCTGTCAGAACACCGAGGATAGGCCAGTATTCAGATGCCTGAATACTAACGGGTGGGTAGGTGTGTGTGTGGGAGAGTGTTACACTAAAAAACATTTTATCATTTCAACAACTAATCACTTTACTAATTCATTAACTAATCAAGTTTTACCATTTCCTTTGGTGACTCTCTCCAGTCCCCTCATTCTTCCTGTTTGCTTGTCTTCACATGGTCTCTTTAGCCAAAGCCACCCTGAAACTCACTCTGTAGCAGATGTTGGCCTCCAACTTTGAACAGCCCTCCTTCCTCTGCCTCCCAGGTTTTGGGATTGCAAGCTTGAACCACTACACCAAACAGAAGATTGTTTTCAATCTGATTACCTTTTAGCTTTTTATTATGGAGATTTAAACTCATCTGAAGGTGACAAGAGCCTCAGACTCTCCTACTTCAGCAGCAGCAGCCAGTCCCAGTGTTGCCCTTTATCCAGTTCTCTGGTACTCTCCTCACCCTTCTACCATCTATCTATACCCTTGACTTCTTTAGCCAGATCTCCAAGTGTCGGTATTTTATCCATAAATATTCCAGTATGTGTCTTACGTGTCTGTAGAGATGTTTCTTTCTTATTTTGTTTTGCTAAGACAGGCTGTCTCTGTGTAACAGTCCTAGCTGTCCTGGAACTCGCTCTGTAAACCAGGCTGGCCTGTACTCTTGGTAGAGGCAGGTAGAGGCAGCCTGTTCTACATAGTAAGTTCCAGGACAGCCAGGACTATCCAGTGAGATCCAAAAGACAGACAGACAGACAGACAGACAGACAGACAGACACTAGCGATTGTAGTTTTTTTTCTTTTTCTTTTTCTTCTTCTTCTCTTTTTTTTTTTTCCTCTTTGGGAGCACAGCTCCCAAATAAATAACACAGAGACTTATTCTTATGAATGCCCGGCCTTAGCTTGGCTTGTTTTTAGCCAGCTTTTTCTTTCTTTCTTTCTTTTTTTTTTTTTTTTTTTCCCGAGACAGGGTTTCTCTGTGTAGCTTTGGAGGCTGTCTTTGCACTCGCTCTGGAGACCAGGCTGGCCTCGAACTCACAGAGATCCACCTGCCTCTGCCTCCCGAATGCTGGGATTAAAGGCGTGCGCCACCAATGCCCGGCTTTAGCCAGCTTTTCTAACTTAGATTGTTCCATTTCTCCTTTACTATGTTTTGCCTCTGGGCTTTTAAACATTTCTTTATTCTATATATCTTTCTTTCCTTCTTGCTTCATGGCTGGCTCTTAGCATCCTCCTCTCCTTCTCTTTCTCCTTTTCTCCTTCCTTTTCCTCTTCTCCTTCTCTCAAGCCAGATTTCTCCTTCTATTTATTTTTTCTGCCTGGCAACCACCTACTCTCCTTCCTAGCTATTGGCCATTTAGCTCTTTAGTAGACCAATCAGGTGTTTTAAACAGGCAGAGTAACACAGCTTTACAGAGTTAAACAAATGTAACATAAAAGAATGCAACACATCTTTGTATCATTAAACAAATAGTCCACAGCATAAACTAATGTATCACATCTTGAACTAATAGTCCACAACAGGGGATGGGCTGTCATATAGCATTGAAGAATGTATAGTCTCCTACAGTCTCTCACCTGAGTTTCTCTTCCCGGAGTAACCACTTTCTACCTCTTGTCAATGCTATCAGAGATTATCTCTAGATTTGAACATATCATATTCTCTCTCTCTCTCTCTCTCTCTCTTACACACCCACACACAGCGTAACTAGATACAATGGCACACAGTTATAATCCAGTACTAGAGAGACTTGAGGCATAGTGATTATGACTTCTAGGCCATTCTGAGCTACAGCAAGACTCTTGTCTCAAAATCAGTACAAAGCAGAAATATATTGTAATATTAATTCTCACATTTCCCCTTAAAATGCCTTGGACTTCTTTCATTTGTAGTGCATGCCGGATGGTGGTGGCGCACGCCTTTAGTCCCAGCACTTGGGAGGCAGAGGCAGGCAGATCTCTGTGAGTCCGAGACCAGCCTGGTCTATAAGAGCTAGTTCCAGGGCAGCCTCCAAAGCCACAGAGAAACCCTGTCTCGTAAAACCAAAAAAAGAAAGAGAGAGAGAGAGAACACTCATTTGTAGTGCATGTAGTTCTACCCTGTTTTTTTTTTTTATTTCATTGACTGCATTATATGATCATTTTATAGTAACATCAAAACACTTTCCTGTTATCTTAGTTTTAAGGTTCCTGTTGCTATGATAAAACGCTACGACCAAAAACAACTTGGGGAGGAAAAGGTTAATTCAGTTTGTTTCCAAAGCATTGTTCATCATCAAAGGAAGTCAGGGCAGGAACTCAAACAAGGCAGGAACTGATATAGAGGCCAAGGAGGGATGCTGCTTTCTGGTTTGCTCTCCATGGCTTTCTCAGCCTGCTTGCTTATAGAACTCAGGACCACCTGCCTAGGAGTGGAACCACCCACAATGGCCTAGGCCTTCCCAAATCAATTACTAATTAAGAAAATATCCTACAGGCCATCCTATAGCTTGATCTTACTGATCCTCTCTCCTCTCCATTGACATTAGCTTGTGTCAAGTTGACATAAAACTAGCCAGCATACCTGTCATGGACATTTTGGCTGTTTCTTCCTTTGTTGTTGTTATTGTGTGGTTTGTTGGTTGGTTTGAGATAAGGTTTCATGTAGCCAAGTCTGGTCTTGAACTCATGATACTCCTGACTCCACCTCTTCAGTTCTGAGATTACAGTTGTGCCACCATGCCTGAGCTTTTATTTTTATTTTATTTATTTTCTTTTGTGGGGGGCGGGGTTGAGACAGGGTTTCTCTGTGGCTTTAGAGGCTGTCCTGGAACTCACTTTGTAGACCAGACTGGCCTCGAACTCACAGAGATCCGCCTGCCTCTGCCTAGTGAGTGCTGGGATTAAAAGCGTGCGCCACCACCGACCAGCCTATTTTTAAAATAAATTTGTGTGTGTAGGGAGGAGGCGTGCCACATACACCTGTGGAGGTCAGAGAGCGACTTGTAGGAGTCACCTCAGGATGGAGCTCTGGTGGTCAGCCTCAGTAGAAGCCTGGGTTCTTTGAGGCAGAGTCTGCTGCTAGGTACTCAACTAGCACCCGAGGCAATCTCATGTAGCCTAAGCTGGCCTTGAATTCTGACCCTCCTGGGTGTACCTTCTAAATACTCTGAATAGGCATGAACCATTATACTCAGCTTTTCCCTTTTTTTGTCAGTATTTTAAACAGTGCTACAAATTTTCATATATATACATAGTATGATAAATTACTGAAAATACTGTTGGTGGAGCAAAGGGTTTATTTAGGTAAAAATGTCTGTGGTAATGCCAAATTACCCTCCAAATGTAAAAATTTATGTTCTACAAAAAAGTCAGGAAGGCAAACCATATTCTTGGTGATCATTATGAAATTTTACCAATTCTAGTATGTGAAAGATAGAATTGATGGTGTTAATTTGTTTAAATTTGCGTTGTAGCTTTTGTCTAAGCAAGTTCTTGCTATATAGGCTGGCGTTAACTCAATATTTACCTCTGGCTGGCTTTGAACTTGAGATTCTCATCCTTCTACTACTGAGATAATAAGTATGCACTATCATACCGAGCCAAAACTTTTTCCGAAAGTGAAGCAAGGTTTTTGGTTGGGGTATTCATTGAACATTTCTGTGTATTGAACATGGTGCCAATAGTAAATTATGAAAGAAATAGTTAACATTAAAAATATAGTTAAGGGATGGAGAGATGGTTCTGCCATTAGGAGCACTTGAGACTTTTGTAGAAGGCTGGAGTTCAGTTCCCAGTATCCACATCCAGGTGGCTTACAACCACCTGGATCCAGCTCCAAAGAATCTGGTGCCTTCTTTCACCTGTACATAAATGTCCAGAAATACATACATGTACACAGAAATAAAATACATTTTTAAAAAGAACAGTTAACATAGAAATTAGATGTTCATTCTTTTCTGGCAGCCTCAAAACCAACGCTGGATCCCATCATCACTGTGGAGGGACTCAGGAAACGGGCAAGCCGGAACCCTGTGGAATCTGCCATGGAATTGAAAGAGAAGCGTTCCCGAACACAGGAAGCAAAAGACATCAGAAGAGCACAGAAGGAAGCGGCTGGCCTCCTTGACAGGAGCACCTCTTCTACCCCTGTCAAGTTCATAAGCCGAGCCCGGAGGCCAGATATGGTTCTGGAGAAAGGGGAAGTAATTGACTTTTCATCCCTTAGCTCCTCAGACCGAACCCCGCTCACAAGCCCATCTCCTTCCCCCTCTCTGGATTTCTCTGCCCCGGGCACACCAGCCTCGCATTCAGCCACGCCTAGCTTGCTTTCTGAAGCAGACCTCATCCCAGATGTGATGCCACCCCAAGCCTTGTTTCATGGTATGACTTACTTGTGTTTTTCACCTTGTGGGTGAGTGAGCCTTTTAACACAAATAAATAAAAGACCCACAGACTGATATTTGGGTTCAAACTTCAAGCTGAATATCAGAGAAGCAAAGCAGCTGGCCACTAGCTCTCATCTCTAGCTCAGGCTGAAAGGGCTGATTCAAGCATGAGCTCTTCACCAAGTCTCAAACTGCTGCCTCTTCACAATATGACTGAAGAATGAATATCTCACTTAGACCTTGCTTCTGTCTTATATACTTGCCTGTTGTTGGGATTATAGGTGTGAGCTATAGTTCTCTTTAGACTGATTCACTCTTGTGTAGATCTGGGTGGCTTTGGACTCACGTAGATCTGTCTGCCTCTTAATCCTGAGTCGTAGGATTAAAGGTGTGTACTACAACCTCCACTTCTGGCTGCTGGGAATAAAGGTGTGCGCCTGGCTTTTATGGCTTGTGGCTGACTTTGCTTTTCTGAATCCTCAGGCAAGCTTTAATAAATCATAAATAATATATCACTATAAAGCCTTGTGCCTTGCTTTCCTGTATCTTGACAACAGTACTTTCTACTTTGCACAGATGATGATGAGCTGGAAGGAGACGGAGTTATAGACCCAGGGATGGAGTACATCCCACCCCCAGCTGGGTCAGCAGCTTCTGGGCTGGTTGGGAGCAGGAAGAAGGTCAGAGCTCCCGAACAGATAAAACAGGAGGAGGACAGTGATGAGGAGAAGCCAGACAGGATGGATGGAGATAGCGAAGACACAGATTCAAACACTTCTTTGCACACTAGGGCTAGAGAAAAGAGGAAGCCACCCCTGGAGAAGGATGTGAAGCCCAAGGGGCCCAGGTATGCTCCTGTGAGCATCTATGAGGAGAAGCTGCTGCTTAAGAGGCTGGAAGCGTGCCCCAGTGCTGTGGCCATGACTCCGGAAGCCCGGAGGCTAAAGCGGAAACTGATCATCAGGCAAGCTAAGAGGGATAGGGGTTTACCACTTTTTGACTTGGATGAGGTTGTGAACGCTGCACTTCTGTTAGTCGATGGGATTTATGGAGCCAAAGACGGAGGAGCTTCCCGGCTTCCGGCTGGACAAGCTACATACCGGACCACCTGCCAGGACTTCAGGATCCTTGACCGGTACCAGGTGATGTGGGGTGGAAGAGAAGTGGGGTAGGCAGCACCTGGCAATGGCTACTGTAAACTGTGGCATTTGATATCATGAGTAATTTGAGAAGAAAGCAATGCAAAACTTGCTGGGCTTCTTGTTCCAACATTGCTTTTCATTTAATGCCCCTTCCTATATCTGAGTTTCTTTCTTACCCGGCATCCAAGAAATAGCCTAGACATTTCTTGTCTCTCTCTTGAGGGTAGCTATATGTAGTCTGTTTCATGGTTTTGATTGACAGATTTGAAGACATGTAGTATCTATCCTAGACCGTAATGAGCTGGAGCTGTGGTATGTAACTATCTGTGTACTTAGGGCTTAACTATGAAGAACTATGGGGTCAGCATTACTCACAGGGTGAATTCCACACGTGCTCTGACAACATCTAATTCCACTTAAGACGTCTAGGCTTCCCCGCCAGCAGCAGTGATGTAGTTTTGGTAGCACTTGGTGCTCATCTGCCTCAACTTTACCAGTCTGGCTGTGAGTGTAATCTCCTGTCATATTTACATCTCTCCCTTTGATTATAGGGGAGGTTGAACATTTTGTGTTTCCTGATTGTTTTTCTGGGAATCTCTGGTTTATAGTCCATGGCATTTTTCTCTTGTCCTCTTTTGACTCTCTTGGAAATCTTTGTCACATGTCTGATTGTCAGTGACATACCAGGCATCAGGCCTCTTCCTCTGGTGTGCTTGGAGCTTGGTGTGAGGCCCTTTCCATTTGGTTATCTCCTTTCTGGAGTTCTCCCTGTTTTCTGTCCTCAGTTTCCTCTGTTCTGTCTTTTACGACTTCCCTATTGCTTTGAATGGGCATACCTTCTGTGTAAAAGTCCTGAGAGTAAGTACTGCAGGCTCTTCAGGCACACAGTCTGGGTGGTAACTGAGACCCACCTGTGATGGAAGGCGCCGTAGTAGTGAATGACTCCAGCTGTGCCTTAGAGAGTTCATTTGCTAAGATGGGCAAGGGTTGGCCTGAAGGTACATATCACTAAGACTGTGCTCTCGTAGGTCCTGACTTAAGATGTGTTTTTCTGGCCAGGCAGTGGTGGCGCACACCTTTAATCTCAGCACTTGGGAGGCAGAGGCAGGAAGATCTCTGTGAGTGTAAAGTCAGACTGGTCTACAAAGGGAGTTCCAGGACAGCCAGAGCTACATACAGAGAAAAGATACCTCAAAAAATAAAACAAAAGTGTTTTTCCATCATGTTAAATGTTATGCCGATCACCCCTCCCCTAGAGTGCCTTTCCTTGCTCTCCTCTCTCCTCTTTAGTTGCTTATTTAAAAGATAGCAGACTGATTTTTATTTTTTCCTGTATTAATTTCTTTTTTTTTTTTCTTGTTTTTTGGTTTTTCGAGACAGGGTTTCTCTGTGTAGCTTTGGAACCTATCCTGGCACTCGCTCTGGAGACCAGGCTGGCCTCGAACTCACAGAGATCCATCTGCCTCTGCCTCCCAAGTGCTGGGATTAAAGGCGTGCACCACCAACACCCAGCTTCCTGAATTAATTTCTTACTTGACTTATTTCTCCAACAGTTCTTTATAACATGTGTTCATGTGCATGCCACATCACATATGTGGAGGTCAGAGGTCAGCTTGCTGTAGTTGGTTCTCTTTCACCATGTGGGTTTTTAGGTTTGAATTCAGGTTTCTGGCTTGGTGGAAGTGCCTTTACCTAATGAGCCATCTCACCATCTCTAAATATGATCTTTTTGAGAGATATCTTGGAAATCTGTATGCCTAGAATATCTTTATTTCACTCTTGCATTTAAACAATAGCTTACAAAGTTGTAGTTTTGTTTTTTCCTTTGACATTTTGAAGTTGTAACTTCATTAGCATCATGTGTGCAGTGTTGCTCTCAAAAGACCCATTTTCTTTTGTTTTGAAATAGGGTCTCATGTATAGCACTGGCTGACCTGGAACTCAGATCTGCCTGCCTCTGCCTTCCAGGTGTTGGAATTGAAGATATGAGCCACCATGCCTTGCTGTAAGAACACCATTCTCAATCTTATTTTTTCTTTGTGGCCTCCTTTTAAAAATACCCTTCTGGAAGGTTTTCTGTTTCTGAGCTTCAGTGCGTTTCCACTGCTTTTTCTGTCTTTAATCTTACTTGAAAATTCAAATCAGGTTAGCAGTTGTTATGCAAACATTTCCTGGGGAGAAACAAACAACTCTTGGTCCTAGGTAGGCCACCAGCAATCAACCAAAACAACAGTTCACTCTGGGTCGTAAAGACAGTGAGTTTAATTAGGGTCACTGTCTTAGTTTCTTTACCTATTGCTGTGAGAAAATGGTTTTCTTTTGACTCATGGTTCCAAGTACAGTGTGTATCTGAATTGGGAAGTTAGAGCAGAGAGAGCTGGTCAGATGGAACCTATTACAAGGAACAGGGCAATAAGTCTGCTGCTCATTCCCTTTTCTTATTATCCCAGCCAGGTGATGGCTTCACCCACTGTGGGCATGTCTTCCCATCCAGATAACCCTCAGCACATATTCCTAGAGTCTCTGAGGTGCTTCAGCCTAGATCAGCAGTTATCAACCTGTGGTTTGAGACCCCAGAGGAGTCTAATGACCCTTTCACCTGGGTCACCTAAAACACAGAGTTTTACTTTCCAATTCATAACGGTAGCAAAATTACTGTTATAAAGTGGCAACAAAAATAATTTTGTGGTCAGAGTAACCACAACATGAGGAACTGTATTAAAGGGTGGTAGTATTGGAAAGGGTGAGAACAATTGTGACCTAGATTGAGTCTAGATGACAGTTAACACTAAACAATACATCTACTTGAAAAAATGTAAAGGGTTACTTACAGGAACGTGGGCAGCTGATGGGCAGCTCCACCATTGGAGGTGGGGAAATCTCTTCATTAACTGTTTATAAATCGTGGGGAAAGGAGTGACCTCATGAGCACCTTGTACTCGCCATTTACTATCTGCAAATCCTACTATCTGTACATCCTTAGGGGAGTGTCATAGCCTAGTGATCCCTTCCCCACTCTCCATCAACAGTCTTGTTCTGGGCTCCTTCAGGTAATCACAGCTGCTGATAGATAGGTCTAGAGGGCACTGGCATGGCATGCCTGGAGGATGGTATTCCACAGCAACATGCCTGTGTGATATTTATCTAGCCTGGTATCATCTGAGCTTCTTCCATCTGTAGTTTGGTATCTGACATTAATTAGAGTTGTAGCTGCTTCACATGTCTTCTGTTCCCTTTTCCTTCTGTGTTCTCCTTGCCATACCTTTTATAGTTTCCCACAATTCTTGGGTTTTCTGTTCCATTCATTTCTAGTCTTTTTTTTTTTTTTTTTTTTTTTTTTTTTTTTTTTTTTCTGCTTTTTGGTTTAGGAAGGTCTTATTGACAGATGCTCAAGCTTAGAGAGTCTCCTTTAAGCTCTGTACAGGTTATTGATTAGTCCACTGTCAAAAACATCCTTAATTTCTAAGGATGTCTCTAAGCATTAATTTAGTTATTTCTTAGGATTTCCAGCTCCAATTAAACTACCATCTGCTCTTGCACGCTTGCCCCTTAGAGCATGTAACCCAACAACTACAACTGTTAAATGTCTTTGCCTCTGCACTAAGTGTGCTTCTGGAGTTTGTTCTGCCTCTTCAAGTCGGGGACTAGAGGCCTGGTCTAGCCAAGCTCTCTTAGTGTTCAGTAACTTAAGAGGCGCTGGCCTGTCACCTCCCATTCTTTCTATTTTGCAAACTCAGGCAGTTTCACCTCTTAGGAACCCCTGCTGCTGTTTTATCCCTCTACTGTTCTTCCTGGGATGTGGAATGCTTAGTTCTGACTGTAGTGGTTCCTCTCCTCTGGCTCAGGAAGATTCCAGCAAACAGTTTCCAGGCAAATTTGGTTGGCAGTTAACCACCCAGAGTAGCCACTGAGAGGGGTGTAACCAGGCCTCTCTGGCTCCTCTGGTGCAGAGCCCTGCTCTGTTTTCACTTTGTTATTAGTCCTAGCTACCTGTTCCTTCTGGGCTTTTCCTCAGCAGAGGTTGATCTCTCTGGCCTTTCCCAGGCTGATTTGGGAATGGACCCAACACACCTAAAGAAGCACATTTAAGGCTGCCCACACCTTACTTGACTTTGAAACCATTTTTTTCCCTGTAACTTTGTGTGATGTGTGCCAGGCACTATTCTAGCTGGGGATACCACGGTAAATTAATGCTAAGTGGGTTTCTACCCTCTCTAGCTGACATCTTCAAACAGTGAAATGACAGTGTTAGCTTACTGGGCCCAGATCTCTTGACTCAGGATGTGTGTGTGTGTGTGTGTGTGTGTGTGTGTGTGTGTGTGTAGGACCATTATGTTCTTAAGATCAGCCCCTCAGTGGAGGTACAAGGAGGAGGAGAAGAGACCAGACAGACATAGGCCCTGAGGCACAAGAAAAACTGGTAGATGTCATAGCAACATCATGACACAGGAATATGGTCCTGGAGATGAGGCCACAGTTTAACAGGGTCGGGTCTTGCAGGTTCCCCAAAAGGCACAGGTGAGGACCTTGAAATATATTCTGAGCATACAGTGGGAATTCATGTAGGAATTGTGAAGAGGGGAGCAGCAGGAGGGTGGTGAGTTGGTATTTGCTTTTTAAGTAGGGTTTCACTGTGTAACCCTGGGTGGCCTGGATCTCACTTTGTAGACCAGGCTGGCCTTGAACTCTCAGAGATCTGCCTGTCTCTGCCTCCCAAGTGCTAGGATTAAAGGCGAGCACCACCATGTTAGTTTATTTTTAAACTGTATGTGGAGACTGTGTGGTTTAGGGCAAGAGTGGGCCAATAGGAGGCAATGGTGGTCCAGGCTTGGTGGAGGGTGTTTCCCAGAGGAGTGGAAGCTTCAGAGGTAGGGGGAACATCCACAGGGCTCACCCTGACACTGCTAAAAGGGAGAGATTTTGTGGACTGATGGGTCTACAAATGACCTGATACCGCATTGAAAGCCACCCCAAACTTAATGACTTGCTGTACTAACTACTAAATATTTCTTGGACTTCTGTGCCTGACTGGACTCTGCTGAATGGTTCTTTTGCCTTGTGAGCTGAAGGCTGGGTTACTTGGGTTGTGTTGTGGCTGCATTCACTGGGGAGCTGATTGGGACTGGACTGACTGGGACACTGCTTTTCTTCCAGGATCTGGCTCCAGGGCCTAGTTGGAGCCATCTGGCAGCCACAAAAGGTGGAAGAAGCTGCCGGTTGTTTTAAGATTTGGGCTTGAAGTTCCAGGTGTTATTTCTGCCACTCTGATAGGTCAAAGTTCTTTACAAACGGCTGGGTTCAGGAGTAGACTCTGCCTTCTGATTGGAGGAGCCATTATACTTGCAAGGGTAGGAGGAGTTGCTAGTGGTCATGTTTGGAGACTGCATGCCGAAGCTTTGAAGATTCCTTTGAAATTCACTTGAAGCCTTGGAAGAATTTCAAAGCTGGCTTTTGAGGAGTTTGGTGTCCAGGCTGGAAAAGTCTGAAGGCAAATTATAAAGGAAGAAACCTTGTTCTTTCAACAAGTTATTTTCTAGGCTAAGAGCAAACTGTCTCTAAAAGACAACTCAGTTTCTAAGGTTCTTTTTGGCACCCTCTTTGTAAAGGTCTTTTAATCTTTGTTAGAGCTCTTTGCTGTTACAACCTTAATTGCAGTGTTCTGTTGCTACATGACCTAGGGCCCCAGGTTAGCAACCCTCACTGAAGAACAGCTTACCATCAGTGTGGCCAGTACAGAGCAAGTATGTAAACCAACCAGTTCTGCCCCAGTCCCTAACTAACTAAGGCCATGCCTTTGCCTAGCCTCTGTTGGGCCTCCTTACTGTAGTGACAGCTTTTAGGGCTGGTAAGCAATGTAACTCCTGTGTTTGCCATATTTACTTAGTGAAAATGGGACACAATAAAAAAAAAAAGTTTATTGGTTTTGATGACTCTTAAGATAAAACTGTGGTTGTACAATAAACAGTAAGTAGCCCAGCCATGTTAGTTTTAGGCAAAGACCTGTGGAGTTTATGTCAGAACTTCAGCTTTCCAAATAGATAGAGCAAAAAGATCTACACCTGACACACAGAAAGATCATTAGACATGGAAGATAACCATTTTTAAGTGGTTTTATTTTTATATAAGCTGTTTCTTTCCCACAGACTGCCTTGCCAACCAGGAAAGGATTCCGGCACCAGACCACCAGGTTTTTGTATCGTTTGGTGGGATCAGAAGATCTGGCTGTGGACCAAAGTATCGTCAGCCCTTATACTTCTCGGATCTTAAAGCCTTATATCAGGTATCCATGAGTGAAGGCTGTCAGGAGAGGTGATGTTGGTGGCTTCTGTACCCAGTCTACAGGGTAAATATGTCCTGACACAACAGGTTCAGGCAAGGGCAGGCAAGATGGTCCTTAGAAAGAGGTATGAAAAGTAGACTGAGTTAACTTTGATTCTCAGTCTTCGTCATCATCATTTTTGTTGTTGTTTTTATTTTTTGAGACAGGGTCTCTCTACATGGGCCTAGGCTGCCCTGAAACTCACTGCGTAGACCTGGCTGGCCTTAAATTTACAGAGATCCGCCTGTCTCTGCCTCTGTTGTGCTGGAGTTAAAAACACCTGCCATTACACCTGGCTCTTATTTACTCTATGAAAATTATGTATCTTTAATAGTCTGTGAACTGAAAAGTAAGAAAGGAAAGCATTCTCAGTGAAGCCAATATCTGAACTGAACATTGGAACAGTTTGTTTTCCTTCCTTTTGTGTGTGGTGTGTGCCTCTGTGTGTGCGTGCACATACATGCAGGTGCACTTATCTGTGAAGAGCTGTGGGTGTCTTTGGGTATCTTTCATTATTACCCTGTGAACCTTTTTAAAATAAATTCAATTAATTAATTTTGAGGTAAGGTCTTCCTGTGTATCCTTGGCTGTCCTGGAACTCATTATGTTGACCAGGCTTGCCTTGACCTCACAGAGGTCTGCCTGCCCCTGCCCCTTGAGTGCAGAGATTAAAGACCTGTGCTACCACACCTGGACTGCACTTTACTTTTTGAGACAGAGTCTCTCAGTCAATCTAGAGGTGACTATTTCACCCTCAGCCATCTGGCTTGCAAACTCTAGGGATTTATCTGTGTCTGCTCCACTAGCATGCACTGTCACACCTCACTTTTACATGGCTCTGGGGATTCAAGTCGCCATGCTTCCATAGCAAGTACTTCATCTACTCAGCCATCTCCTAGCCCCAGTTTTTCTTCCTGTTGGACAGCTTCTAATAAATGTGGTCCAGACAGTGAATGGAAGACAAACTTCCTGGAGAGGCCATGCTTACTCTACAGCTCTACCACTACCCTGATCCCCCTCACCTACCATTCAGTTCCTAGGCAAACCTGTGGAAAGGCCATTTATAGGCCTGCTACAAGTGGAGTTTGGCAGTCCCTCCTTTGGCCTCTGCTCATGCTAGTGAAGCATCCCTGTGTCAGGCACTTCTGAGCATATCTAAGTGCTGTTTCTGTTTCTCACTTCACCTCATGTAATCCCTGGTGGGTACCAGAGGCCTCTGCCTTGTTCCGTGTTCAGAGTGAATTTAGAAAGCATTAAACTGCATCCTGGCTAGCTAGCATATAAAGTAGAACGACTTGGTATGATGTTGTAAGCAGTTCAAAGTAGCTGTAAGTCAGATAACTAGCAGTAATGAGTATTTTTCTTGACTTTTAATTTGTTTATTTTCTGTGGTGCTGGAGGCGTGATTATGAGACAAAGCCACCCAAACTACAGCTCCTGTCACAGATTCGTTCCCACCTGCACAGGAGTGACCCTCACTGGACACCTGAGCCTGATGCACCTCTTGATTACTGCTATGTCCGACCAAATCACATCCCAACGATCAACTCCATGTGTCAGGAGTTTTTCTGGCCTGGTATGTTTCTACTTCCACACCAGGCAGATTGGTTTTTCGCTCTATATCACCTGGGTGTGTTTTTAAATAGTGTCTGCCATGTGACCCTAAGCTGTTTACTCTTGATTCCATTTAGTCTGTCTTTACTAACATAGAAATATTAAAGTATAAATGCCTCTCGCTTTCCTAAGGTCAAGAAGCCAGCAATTAAAGTAATCAACAGTGTTTTTGTTTGTTTTTCTTCCCTGTTTGTCTCTGCTTCCAGAATAAAAGATTCATTCTGTTTTGCTTCTGCCTATGTTTAGATACCAGGTAATGTCTCTCCAAGATACACAGACTCATAGCTGGGCATGCGGACACTTTTGGGTTTTTTTGCCTATAATAGTTCTTTAGGTTTTGTTGTTTAGCCATTTCTTAGAGAGTGTTAGGACACCCTAAAGGTGTTTTTAAGAAGCCAAATGCCCCCTGACTTGAGGAGTCAGAGTAAACCAGGAAGATTTGTCATTTCATCAGCCAAGACCTAGGCCATCAATCAGCAATCTCATTGCTAAATATGAGCATACTCTCTGTGGGCCTGCTCGGAAACCTACAGGACACATCTGTCTTGCAGATGTCACAAATTTCATCAGGGTCAGAGCCCTGCCATGCTTATGTTCTGACTGTGGTTCCCTCTCTTCTGGGGTAGTAGTGGAGCCTAAAAGTCACTTTCTGGGTTATCAGCTGCTTCTGCCTGATGTTAAGTATTTGTCACACACCACCTTTAAAATTTTTATTTTATTGTGAAAGCTTTGATAGAAAGATTGTCAGTGGTGTATGAGTGGGATAAAGAAAATAATATTAGCAGGCTCATGAGATGGCACAGCAGGTAAAAGTGCTTGCCACGTAAACCTGCATCCTGAATTCCATCCTCAGATCCTACAGTGGGAGGAGAGAACAGATTTAGTACAGTTTTGTCCTTGGACGCCCCACCCCACATACATACTATTGCACATATGTACTAGTAATCATACATACTCAACTCACGACAAGAAGAACAATAACAATAAATAGAATTTGAAGAAAAAGAAAAGGGCAAATGATACTGGCACTTTCAGGGACCTTTACCCCTGCTCTGTCCGGGCTCACTGCAAGAAATGAGACATTTTAAAATGTGCCAAACCAAACACATGGTAGACGAGGCTGAGTCAAAGCCAGGTGTGTCCATCCATTCTGAACCTGGAGTGCTCTCTGCTACCCAACCTGTCCTGTCTCTCTGCTTTTAACATATGTACTTAGAAAAGACTATGTTAATTTTGATATTTTCTAAAATGCATTTTTCTGGTCTGAATGTGTGGTATCTATGGTAATGTCTTTGCCTCGAATTTGGGGAATTTTTTTTAGCATGCAGGTATAACAGTAAGTACAGGCTGAACAGCTTGTTGTTCATTAGTTCCAAAAGGCACATGGTCTGAGTGTCTGGTCGGTTCTTTTCTTTAGGCATTGACCTGTCTGAGTGTCTGCAGTATCCAGACTTCAGTGTTGTAGTCCTTTATAAAAAAGTCATTGTTGCCTTTGGCTTCATGGTTCCGGACGTGAAGTACAACGAAGCTTACATTTCATTTCTCCTTGTCCATCCTGAATGGAGAAGAGCGGGGATTGCCACATTCATGATCTATCATCTGATCCAGGCAAGTTCTCTCTCACCTAAAGTAGGTGATTTATCTCTCAGGGCTTCCCGGAAAGGCTTGGAGGAGATGAGGCTGAGCTGGCATAGTCCAAGCAAAAGGAAGGCGTTGTCACCAGTCATGAGACTATGGAAGCTCCTAAACTTCTAGCCCCTAAAATAAGACTCTATTCTTGGCTTCAGAGAAGCCCCTAGGTGAACATATATCATAAATAAAACAACAAAGCACCACATGTGAAACTGTAAAGCATATGTGCTGTCTGTATTGATACTGTTCTGCTCTTAGAGTGTGTCTCCAATGACTTTGAGGGTACATTACCTGTTTATAAACCTTTTATCACAATTGAATCAATAAGTAGTACACTATGAATGAATGAATGTGTGAATGCATGAATGCAATGAATTTTTTTCCCCCAAAACTATTTTGTTTTGCTTTTTAGGCAAGATATTGATATGAAACCCTGGTTGGCATGGGATTAACTGTGTCACTGTAGTCAGTTTTCTATTGCTGTGAAGACACACCATGACCATAACAACTCTTAGAAAAATTGGGTTGTGCTTACAGTTTGAGAACGTTATCCTCATGGTGGAAGCATGGTGGTATGCAGGCAAACATGGTAGCTCAGAGTTTAGTTTCTGCTGGGTGTGATGTATCAGGCAGGAATAGAGAACCACTGGGCCTGACTTGGACTTCAGAAACCTCAAAGCCTACCCCTAGTGACACTCCTCCAACAAGGCCACACCTCCTAATCCCTTCAAATAGTATTATTCCTTGGTGACTAAGCATTCAGATCTCTGAACCTATGGGAGCCATTCTTATTCAAACCACCACAGTCACCCAGGCTAGTCTTGAACTCATGGCAGTCTTCTGAGTGCTCAAATTATAGACCTGAGTTTCTACACCCAGCAAGGATTTTTTTGTTTGTTTTAGGCAGGATCTTATTATGTAGCATTGCTAGCCTTGAACTCACAGAGATCTACCTACCTCTGCCTCCCATATGCTGGTATCAAGGTGTGTGCTACCACTCCTGGCCCAGCCGTGATATTTTCTTTTTCTCTTAAGACTGTTATAAACATTTTTTTTTTTTTTTAAAGAACTCTAGTGGTTTTATTAAAGGAAGGCATTTCTGGTTTACTTCTCACCAGTCTGTTCTGGCATGCTTCTAATAATATCAGAGTCACCTGGAAAATAAAAACGATAGTTCTACCGTTCATATAATGGCAACTGGTAATCACAGAACTTCCCTAGAGTGGCTACACGGTCTTTAACCAAGAAGGCAGATTAGCAATATCTGAAATTACAGTATCACTCTTAAGACCAACTAAAAACCGTCTTAGAATCTCAGCCATCCTACGATCACACAGAATAATCCTAACAAGCCAGACCGGGTTTGTCACCAGAATTTAGAAAGCCAGACATAGGTAAAGAACCAGGCCTGGGGACACATGCGTGGTGTCTCTATAGCAAATGTCTAGCCTGCCCTGATTATCACAGAATCAGAACATCGAGAAGATTCACAGTTATTATAAACATTTTTATTGCATGAGCTAATAGGTATAGCAACTTACTTTCTCTTTGAACCTTAAGCTTCTGAGGTATAACACTGTGAAGCAAAAGCATATTTTTTTTCTCAAGAATTCTTCTGGTAAATCCTATTTAGAAACTGTTTGGTATAGAAGATTATGAAATGGGTCTGGAGAAATGGCTCAGAGGTTAAGAGCGCCGACTGCTCTTCCAGAGGTCTTGAGTTCAATTCCCAGCAACCATATGGTGGCTCACAACCATCCATTATGAGATCTGGTGCCCTCGTCTGGTGTGCAGATATACATGGAAGCAGGATGTTGTATACATAATAAATAAATAAAATCTTAAAAAAAAAAAAAAGAAGATTATGAAAACTGGGTGGTGGTGGCATACACCTTTACTGCCAGCACTCAGGAAACAAATGCAAGTAGATCTCTGGAGACCAACCTGGTCTAACACAGAAACCCTGCCCAAAACAATAACAAAGATTATGCAATATTAATTTGAGCAAAATTTTTTGTTTTATTTTGAGATAAGTTTTCTCTGTATAGCATAGGCTGGTCTGGAACTTGAGAACTTTTTGCCTCAAGAGAGGATGGAAATGATAAAGTGGAAATGCTTAACCAAGCTTGTCTTTCCAATTGTTAATGAAACTCACTTAATAATTCCTAGATGTGGGTAGGAATCTTGAAAAGCATCTTTCTAGAAATCACTTCTAAGGCAGAGACAGTAAGACATTGCGTAGTGTTACACATGCTGTCTTATGTTGATTCTGTTGAAACTGGCTCTGTTTCTTTTCCACATCCTTTCTCTGCTTTATGCTCCCTCCAGGATGCATCTCCATATATTCATCTTTCTCTTGCAGAGTGCCTTCGCAGTTCTCTGGCTCTTTTGTTACTAGCAGAGGCTGGAGTAGGGTGGGCTGATAGCTCAGAAGGCATCCTTGGTGCTTAGTGTGAGACCTGGCATGGGACAAGTCCTTGTTAACTGTTTGCTCAGCTCATCAGTATGTGTGGGCATTTTCTATCCCAGTCAGCCTGTAAGAGAAGGCCCAAATATGGGCTCAGTCTGTAGTATCTGGTGATGGCCATGGTGAGATGTCTATATGGATAATCACCCCCTAGAATTTCTCTGTGTGCTCACACCATGCTGTTGTCCTTGGGATACTAATCATGTTCTCTTGTGTCTAATGTGTTTGGAGGCACAGTGTAAAGTAGAAAAAGAAGGAAATTGTTGGTTGCCTTGTGCTGTGTTCTTGACAGCCAGAACTCATCAGTTTTAAGGACTGTCACCTGCAGCATTTTGATACCTTCCTCATTAAAACAGTTCATACCTGTGTGGTCTGGAGTACATCATTCTGTGTGGCTGATCAAAGAATCTAAAAACATGCCTTTATGTTCATAGGACCTTCTCCACTCTTTTCCCCTTAATATAGAAACCTCAGTTCTGGGAAGTTAATTATGTCAGATTTAAAGGGATCTAAGGACTTAGGTGGACAAGGTCTTTAGGCTTTATAACTAAGATTTTAGTATTTAGAAGTTATGCTTAGTATTTAGTATGTTTTCTAGTATTTCTAGGAAAGGAATTATTATTACAGGTTGTGAGGAATGGAAACTAGAATTTCTCATTCTCTAGTTCTGTGGTACTGACATGTCTGATATTTAAACTGAATTATTAATATAGAGGCTGGTGAGATGACTCTGCAAGTGAAAGCACTTGCCCCAGAGCCTGATGGTCTGAGTGTAATCCCTGAGACCCACATCCATATTGTGCAGTATGGCATGCATGAGCCTACACACATATCACCCCTGACACACAATAATAAATAAGTAAGTAAGTAAAATGTAATTGAAATAATGAACAGGGCTGGAGAGATGACTCAGCTGTTAAGAGCACTTACTGCTTTTGCAGAAGACCTAGGTTTGGTTCCCAGCACCCACATGACAGCTCACAACCATCTGTAACTTCAATTTCATAGGATTAACACCTCTTTTGCCCTCTGAAGACCCTGCACTCATGTGGTACATAGACATTCATTCAAGCATATAGTAAAATAAATAAATGTAATACAATATAACAAAATATACTCTATGGTCTTTGCTTCAGGGTAGAGACAACCCCCCCCCACTTGTCCCCCAGTACATGAATCCCTTTAGTCTTGGGGACACACAGCTTAGTGGCAGAGTGCTCCTGGATTTCCAGCTGTTGCTAGGTGCTACACTGCTCTGGTTTCCAGCTGCTACTATCCGCTCCAGTGCCCTGGGCTTCCAGTGGTTGCTACATGTTGCCTTGCCTCAGCCCCCGCCCCCCCAAACCCCTCTTGCTTCCTTCTGAAGATTGTGCTCATTCGTTCATTCTCTTTGTCCCTGTGGCTTCACCTTGTGTTTTCCACTTTTTGGCAGACGTGCATGGGCAAGGATGTGACTCTTCACGTCTCAGCAAGCAACCCTGCCATGCTGCTGTATCAGAAGTTTGGCTTCAAGACTGAGGAGTATGTTCTGGATTTTTATGATAAGTACTACCCACTGGAGAGTACAGAGTGTAAACATGCCTTCTTCCTGAGGCTCCGACGCTGAGGGGAACCTGTTCTTCCCAGAGAACAGTGGGTGCTGTCAGAGAACAGGCCCTCGGGGCTGTGCAGGCAGTTATCCGAAGTGGGCCCAGCTGGGTGAGTGAAGCCATGTGCAGCGGTACGAGTGGGCAGCTCTTCCATCCAGAGACCCTCCAGCCCTTCCTGGAGTGGCTGGCCAGCAGCACCCTGGACCCCACTGTTAACCAAACCAAGGGACTCTGCCATCCACTTCCCACACAGTAATGAGTGAGCACAAGAGAGCTGCTAAACCAATGCATTTGAGAAAGGGTCTGTTTGTCCTGTGTTGCAGCTCAAGAAATGTGAAAGGTGTTAAAAGTTCGCAGAGCCCACATGGCCTTCTGCTGTCCTGGGATAAGAGATTATAAGGTGTCAGGAATGATTCTGACCCTGTTCCTAGCCTTCAGTGTGCTGTCATTGAATCCCAGAGAACTCATGGGGAACTGAAGTCCTGTTGTCTCTTGCTGACTTAGGTCTCAGTCAGGAAGAATAAATTCAATGTCTGTCTCCATGCTGCTTTACCTGATCTACCTGTTATCATCTCCTTATTGGGACACTGACCTGGTATAAGGAATTCACTCATGGCGTGTCTTGGGAAAATAGCTTGAGAGGAACAGCCAAGCTTGATGCATTAGATGCCTTCTCTGGTCCTTCTCATGCCCAAAACAGTTGCACCACAGGAGTGGAGGTGTGGAGTGGTGCAGGCAGAAGTGGATGCCCTGTCAACAGGATGAAGCTGCTTCCTATGTTGCAAATGCTGGAGATGACTGCAGGTGTCTTTGGACCCTGTAAGTGCATTTCCAACAGCATCAGATATTCTCAAATAAAAACCTACCATGTAACAACTCACAGCCAGGGCTTCAGCCTGGTCATTTGCACTCAGCTTGTCTTTAATTAGGAGCAGTGGCTGCTTTTTTCCTTGGTGGGCTCTGGGCTGGGTTGAGAATCCAGACAGCTGAGTGCTTCATAGGCAGTTACAATCTTTGTTTCCTCAATTGTCTTGTGGCCTTAGCTGGTATTAGATAGAGTGAATATCATACTTCAACTGCCTTGCCTGTAAAATGTAGGCAGACTTTTCTGTCCCACCAGCCAGTTCCCAAATAACCACACAGAGACTTACTAATTATAAATGCTCAGCTGATAGCTAAGGCTTGTTACTAACTAGCTCTTACATTTTAATTTAACCCATATTTCTTATTTATACTATGCCACATGGTGGTACCTTTTTTCAGTACGGGAAGTTCATCTTCTCTCCACGTCTCCTCACAACTTTCAACTCCGCCCTTCTTCTTGCCATAGACCTCTTAGTCTCGTTCTCCTGCCTAACCTTATCCTGCCTAGCTATAGGCCAGACAGCTCCTTTACTAACACAGTCACAGTAAGGAATATTCCACAGTAAAATGAGGATAACACCCACCTCAGAGCTTTGTAGCAACAGGTAAAGGAAGAAAATCTAAAACAGCTGGGTGCTTGTAGCTCAGTGGAAGATCACTTGGCGAGGATATGCAAGGGTTGGGGTTCTGTCCTCAGCACTGAAAAACCAATACCAGAAATCAGAACTCTCAGCTCAAAGCTTAGGAGCCTGACATCAGAAAGCACACCTGGGGTTGGAGGCGGAGGGCTGTGCTCAGAACTGCTTGCTTGAGCAGAGCTCCGCATGCCTTGGCTGAGCAGGAAGGAAGTGCTGTACCAGGCACTGGGCCAAGCGAGCCAGCTAAACTCTGCCTCTTGCTCTGTTCACTCTTCTTCATGCCTAGGATACTTGCATTTATCACAGTTGCCTCTTAGTGCCCACCCCTTCTCTTTCCCTACATAGAGGTGAAATAGACTCCTCATTTTTAGAACCTTTCACTGTATACAGGTTTCCCTGTGCGAAGAGGACCTCTGCAAAAGTGAGTAAAGCCCAAGAAGTTTGGTTTTCGTGAGCTGGAGGGAGGCCTGTGCCTGTGCTTTCTAACCTCAGCTCCTGCTGACGATTTCTTGGGCCTGTGAAAAGTGATTTGGCAGCTCACCTAGGAGTCCCATGAGTCGTGGAGCCCATGAGCTGCTTCCAGCCTTGACTGCCCACAGGGTCAGGACCCAGGCAAAGAAGGAGCCACCTGCTAAGGTCTGTCCTGCTGCCTAGAGGATCAGGTGGAGTGGACCATGAAAGTCAGCTAGGCCCCTGGCAGCTCTGGTCACAGCCTCAGGAACTGTGTGACTGGTGTGCTGGTTCTAGGGAGAGCACTGCAGTGTAGCACACTACCTGTGGCTGTCAAAGGGAAAGAGCCAGAGGATAGATGAGGTAGAGATGCAGCAAGGCTCCCATGCTGTGTTCTTCAGCTCAGGTAGCTGAGATGTATTGGACCACACTTGGAACTCCAGGCAGGGCTTAGCTTACTCTTGCCCTATTCCTGGCCATTCAGACCCAAGTCCTGTCACTCAGCTTTCTAAATGTCCCTTGACCCTGGCCCCTCCTGTCACTCCCAGCCATGTCTTAATATCTCTGCTCCCTGCAAAGATCAAATTATATGATGATACTAAGAGTTTTTCAGAGACAGTGAGATCAGGAGGGCACAGCAGAGTATGGTGGTGCATTCCAGTAATCCAAGGCTGGCCTGGACCAAGACTCTGTCTCAAAAAACAGAAAGTTTGCCCTTCCACCACGAGAGGACATGCCTGCTGGCTTTGAAGCAGAATAAGCCCTCACCAGACAAACCATCTCAAACAAAGCTCCTCCAAATGTCTGTAGCATCAATCACCCAGTCTGGTATTTTTGTCCTAAATGTTCTAGGATATTAGCCATTCCCCCTTGGCCAGCTCTTTAAGTTGCTATGCCATCCTCTAATTACTTCCTGCTGTCTGCCTTAAGTCTGATGCCGAGTGGTTGTATTTCTTTAAAAAAACAAAACACACACACACACACACACACACACACACACACACACACACACACAAATACAATAGAGAAAATTTTTAAAGTAAAAAACTAATTTTACTCTCAAGTTACATTATGGTTGGCTTTTTTTTTTTTTTTTTTTGGTTTTTCGAGACAGGGTTTCTCTGTAGCTTTGGAGGTTGCCCTGGCACTCACTCTGTATACTAGGCTGGCCTCGAACTCACAGAGATCCACTTGCTTCTGCCTCCCCAGTGCTGGAATTAAAGGCCTGTGCCACCACCACCCCCGCCCAGCTCTGGCTTTTTTTTTTTTTTTTTTTTTAAAGCTTCACAGTACTCCTGAAATTTTCATGTCTTATTTTCCTAACACTGTTTATATCTTTACTGTGTTTTCATAAATAGCATTGCAATTAACGTATTTGTACTTTTTTTTCTACCAGGGATTTGGGCCTTTTACTTCTGGATAGATTCTGAGAAGTGGAATTCTTAGGTCAGAAGTCAGAGGGTGTGTTCATTTTTATTGCTAGTTTCTTTTTTTTTTTTTTTTTAATTGCTAGTTTCTAACTGCCAACATCTTCATTTATAAATTAAGGTACCCGTCGCACCTGAAAGCTACCAGTGTTAGAGACTGGGAAGCTGCAGATAGTTCAGTCCACCCAGTTTGCATCGGTCCACCCCCATTTGCATCTCACAGAGCTTGTTTCCTCTCCTAAGTAGGAGGCCATAGACATCACAGGGGTGTGTGGTGTGATTGTAAAAGCCTGGCCTGGATATTTGGGCCTGGGTTTGCATCTGACATCACATCTCCGAGATAGTCTTCCCTCAGCCCCAGGGCCCTGAGCTGTGGTCACTTACTTGCTCAGAGAGACCACAGCTCATTTCTCTTCTCCAGTCTTTGTCCTTTTCCTCCCTGCCCTTTGGTTGACAGCAAGATGTCAGAGGACAAATGCCTTGATGGCAAGCCCGTGGATCTGATTGCTTCCTAGGTTCCACGTGAGCTGAGCAGATTTGGACCATCTCCTGCATGTGTCCACTGGCCTCCACATGTGTGCTACATATTCAAGCACACACCCCCAACATAAATGAATGTAATTAAGAAAAACAGACTCCTGGTGTGGTGCCCCAAGAAGCCTTAAAGGCCAGCACTTGCAGGCAGAGGCAGGCAGATCTCTGAGTTAGAGGCCATCCTGGTCTACAAATGGAGTTCCAGGCCAGCTGGGGCTACATAATGAGACCCTGTGTAAGGAAAAACCATACTCATTGACTTTGGTGCTCCAAAAGTATAAACCCTTTCGAGAGGCATAGAGGACCACATGGCCAGGTGATGTTTGAGAAAAGCAGGTCCTGGGACTGAGGAGGGGAGGTGAGAGCCATGAAGCTGAGAGAAGACGGCAGAGCTGAATTAGGCAATAGCCTTTAGTCAGTAAATAGCAGAGCCCCAACTCAAGTTGGCTTTTAAAATGGCCATCCCCAGCCAGGTGTACTGCCACACACCCTTAATGCCAGCACTGGGGAGGCAGAGACAGGTGGATCTCTTGAGTTAGGGGCCAGCCTGGTCTATAGAGCAAGTTCTGGGACAGCCATGGCTACACAGAGAAACCTGTCTCAAAAGCTAAGGGGGAGGGGAAAGGCTATCATCAGTTGTTATCACTCCTGGAGAAACCCAGAGGCAGTGTGTCCCCAGGCCACAGGGCTTTGTAGCGCCTCAGCAGTGTGACTTTGGCAAGTAACATAACCTAAATTTCCTTATCTGCAAAAGGATTGTAGGTATCAAATGACTATATATATACACATACACACACACACACACACACACACACACACACACACACACACACACACACACACGTAGCAATCCTTAGTGTTAAGTGTTTTCTAAGTATTTTTAAACAATTTTGATTTATTTTATATTTTTATTTTATTTTTATATGTTTATTTTTATTTTATATATTTTTATATTTTTATTTTGTGTGTATGGGGGGGGGGTGTTGGTTAATACACCTGTGAGTGCAGGTGCCTGAGAAGGTCAGAGATGCTTAATCCTGGAACTAGAGTAGCGGGCAGCTATGAGCTGCCATGTTGCTGCAGAGTACTGAATGCGATCTTCAAGAACAGTGTATAATCCTGACTGCTGACCCACATCTTTCCAGCCCCAGAAGTGAAACACTTAATTTCCTTTCCTCGTGTCCAGTTCATTCATTCGTGTGTGTGTGTGTGTGTGTGTGTGTGTGTGTGTGTACATAATTTGTGTCTTGGGGGAGTTCCATATACTCTTCATTACTGATTTCTAGGTCAATTCTCTTGTGGTCACAAACAAACCTGATGTGAGTTAAGTTTACTGAGTTTGGCGCTGTACTGTGGTTATGTGATAGAATTCTCCACACTTAGGAAGCTTGCCCTGAAACATCTAGAGATAAGTCACTGTGGCATGTGTAACTTACTCTCAGGTGGGTCAGAAAACCCCTGCCTGTGGTAGTAGATGGGAGGGAATGGAGTTTTAGATTAGGAAAGAGAAGAGAGGGAAGTAGGGGGAAACCCTAATTCACCCCATGCCTTGTCTAGTCCTCTGTGTATTTGTCTTCCAGACCTCCGTGCACTCGCACAAACCACATTAACTTTTTTTTTTTTTTTTTTTTTTTTTTTTTTTTGGTTTTTGAGACAGGGTTTCTCTGTGTAGCTTTGGAGCCTATCCTGGCACTCGCTCTGGAGACCAGGCTGGCCTCGAACTCACAGAGATCCGCCTGCCTCTGCCTCCCGAGTGCTGGGATTAAAGGTGTGTGCCACTAATACCCTGCACCACATTAACATTTTAAAACTTAAGTTTTTTTTTTTTTAAGTCAAAATAAGATCATTCGCTATTAGCGCAGTTTGATCTTCTCTCAATATGTCATAAGGGGGCTGGAGAGATGGCTCAGTGGTTAAGAACAATGGCGGCTCTTGCAGAGGACCCACATTTGATTTCTAGCACCGGTGT